GGAACTTTGCGTAGCTCATATCCTTAGACCTAGAACAGTGCTTGACAGAAGCAGATGCTCAGGAAATAGGATTTTTTTTCATTGGATGAAGGAAAGAATGAAGACCCTGAGATGCCTTTCAGGGTCCAAGGTTGAGAAGCATCTTGGAGTGTCTCAGCCTTCACCTGAGGTCCTGTTCACCTTGAAGAACCCAGGTCTGGGGTGGAGAGAATGGGAAATGTGGCGGAGCCCTGGGTTGGAGCCACTGCATGGGAGAAGGATTAGAGAGACTGGAAGCACAGGGGGAGCCCTGGGAAGAAGCTCAGGAAGGGCAGGGAAATGGGCAGCTCTGGTACCCAAACGTCCCGGAAGGAGGCTGTGGAACCTGACCAGGCAATCCCAACTGATTGGCACAGCACCATTCTTGTCGAGTCAGACACGAGAGAGAAAAGTGAGGGGGCTTCCCTGGTGGTGTAGTGGTTAGGAATCCGCCTGCCAATGCAGGGGACACGGGTTTGAGCCCTGATCCGGGAAGATCCCATGTGCCACAGAAGCAACTAAGCCCGCGCGCCACAACTACTGAGCCCACGAGCCACAACTAGTGAAGCTGGTGTGCCTAGAGCCTGTGCTCTGCAACAGGAGAAGCCACCGCAATGAGAAGCCTGCACACTGCAACACAGAGTAGCCCCCGCTCGCCGCAGCTAGAGAAAGCCCATGCGCAGCAACGAAGACCCAACTCAGCCAAAAATAAATAAATAAAGTAAATTAATTAATTGAAAAAAAAAAAGAAAAGAAAAGTGAGGCTGCCAGAATGATAGTAAAGGCATCTGTGGGCTGTAGTTACGACAGCTTCAGATTACAAGGATGAGCATCCCACCTGCCTGTAACTTTTGGGGTACTCCACTGTTTCCTTTTCTCTCACTCTCTCTTTTTCTCTTTTTGGCTGCATCGTAACATGTGTGATCTTAGTTCCCTGACCAGGGATGGAAGCCGTGCTCCCTGCAGTGGAAGCACAGAGTCCTAACCACTGGCCCGCCAGGGAATTCCCATTCCTTTTCTCCTTGAGCAAGAATAACAGGGCTTTGGGGTTTAGATTTATCAGACCCGTGATGATGGCATCCCCACAGTTGTTGAAATCTGTTTTACATATACTGTATATTGATTCTCCTCTTGTTTTAAGTGTATTTATCTTCATTGCCAATGTAAGTATTTCTGTAACATGCAAAGATGTATTTATACATTCTGTGTTATCGATTTTTCTCATGCTGGAAACAAATTTATCTCTTTTTTAATGAAAATGTACCTGGGAAATAGTAAGATTGACTTATGGAGAAAGGTACGGGGAGGGAGGGAGGTGGTGCCGACCTGGGTACACTGTCCTTGGCCGCAGCTGAAGGAGACATTGTGGGACTTCCAGGAGGTGCCTGTTTAATTGGAGGAAACTGCTCTCAGAGGCAAGGGATGCTTACAGAGTTCTTTTGTGAGACAGTCTGATGTGCTCACAGGAGTCAGCTATGCTTTCAGCTAGGGAAGATCCCAAAAATCAGCCATCCAGGCCAGGAGATGCAGAGAAGCAGCTCCTATTGGTCCCAAACCCAGTTTCAATAGGGTTCAATTGAGTAAAAGATACTGGCTCAGTGGAAAGCATGGAAGAGAGGCTAAGCTTTGCCATGGGAGGATTGTAACACTCGTCGTTACTAAAAGGTGAAGTAAGGAGATAGGCAGCCGAGCACAGAGCTGGGTGTCAGCCGCTAAGTGTGCATGCCTGCACAGGACACTTAATTAGTCAATCCAGACCCAGGCAGGCTTCCTTCTCTAGAAATCCTTCCTTTAGCTCTGGCCAACAGGCTAGGTGCTTCTCCTGTGTGCTTCCAGGACCCCTCATGCAGAACTCTGCTTTAGTCCCTCTCACATTGTTTAGTTACCGTTGGTTTACTTCTCTGACCACTCATCACCCATCACTATGAACCCCTTGATGAGGCCCACCATGCATTCCTTGCCTAGGTGCCTCTGTGCCTTACCTAGTACCAACTAACTAACTAGCTAGCTAGCTGACTGTGGATGCGACACCTGGTTGGATGACTTCAGCCAGTTGTATCATGCATGATTTTGGTTTATAGAGGCACCACGTGTGCCTCTCCTCCATCTCTGTGGTGAGGGTGCTTGGACACTTCTAGCAGTTGTTGCTGAAGAGACTATTTGGGGAAACATGCTAAATTAAGCCGCCCTTGCTTGTTTGGGTGGGCGTCTTATCTGATGTGAACATCTGTCTTCTGCTGCCTGATGGCTTGGAGCCTGGATGGCTGGCTGTTCTTTATTCCTCCTTCCATGTCCCTTCCAAAACTGAGCAATCGGACAAGAGAATAAGTGCCCCAGGGAGATGACAGCTTTGGTCCATGAGTAGTCAGGCCCTCCCGCCAGATTCCAAAGAGACTTAGGTTTAGTCACTCTGAAATATGATGGTAATACTTCCTGTGTGTTAATGAGCTTGGAGACCTTCCCTGAAAGAGGCAATGTGCATTTAAGTCGGGAAAGATCCTTCTGCACAGACTCATGGCTACCGGAGATGATGGATGGAGGCCAGGGGGCTGGCACAGCAAAGATGGTGGTGGTGTTTTGGGATGGGAACAATGACCTCTAAGGGGACAGAAATGGACATGAAGCCAATAACATTTGGGCTGCCTGCTTGCATTCCAGAGATGCTCCCTGAGCCTCTGGCCAGGAGCTCCGTAGTGAATAAATAGCAAGAGGAGAGAGGAAATCTACATTTCAAACATGGGGATGAAACGGTAGTGCTGAACTCCTTGGCGGCTACACATTCATTCCAGACTCACCGAAACTGCAGTAATTTAGAGCAGTTCAGTATTTAGACTCAACTGTGTAATTCATCCTGATGTTTCCCATTCATCAAAGCCTTGTGTTTGTTTGTATTACCATGAGAAAAATAAAAAATGCGGGGGAAAAAAAAGATCCCTCTTCCTTTCATTACAGGCAGATTACGACAGAGTTACAACCCTTGGGGCCCTTTAAGCAAAGGAACATCTTGGTTTAATTAGATATAAATAATGAACAATAATTAGAAAGATTTCTTCATCAAATTTGTTATTTTGTGTTTTCTTTCATCTGTAATGTATTGAAACGAATACTGAGCTCTGTTTCTGGGCCATGTAGCAGTGCCTGAAGGAATTCCATGGAGTGTGTCTCCAAAACAGGAGGAAGCATTCATCGCTGGTTCCTCTGTGTGCAGGCTGGCAACTGTCCTGGATCTAGAGCTGAGGATGCAAATACTGGGCTACTTTGGCTCCATCTACTGAGGACCCAGCCATATAATAATAGCACAGAAGTATTGCTACTAGTTATTGGGCACTGAGTTTACATCATTCACTGCTCTAAGAGTTGAACACATATCACCTCATTTCATCTTCACAGCAGCCTCTGCTACAGGCTCCGCTTCTAGCCCTATTCTTTTAAACATTTGGGAACTGAGGCACAGAGAGGTCAGCTAATTTGCCCAGGCCCATAGTGTTAGTGCTGGTGGAGCTGAGAGGCAAGGCAGGTAGTTGGACTCCAGAGCCCCTGCTTTACCCATTCTGCTGCGCTGCTTCCTGCAATCACAGTGAGATCTTACCGCCATAGAAGCCATGCAGGGTATAGAGATGGTCAGGGAGGTGGGGGATGGCGATGTCTTCCCACAGGGAAAGGTGGCAGCTGGAACTTCAGGGTGTTTGCAGAAGTGTATCAGGTGGATGAGTAAGATAAAGGGATTCCAGGAAGAGGAAGCTCCATGGTTTGGTGCCATACATGGGGACTGTGTGGGATTTCTCATTTCAGCCTTGGCTTTGGGGTCCTGTGGAGGCAGGAGCAACAGGGGAAGATGAGATCAGAAGATGGAGGGTTGTGTAGATCAGGTGGGAATGGCTGGATCTCTTTGTGGGAACAGTAACTCAGCGAGAGGTGGGGATGATGATTCTGGTTGATTAAAAGGAGAGACAGATTCCCAGAAGAGAAATAAATAAAGAGGGATCAGGTTGGAGCCTGGAGAGAGAGGCTGGCTCACCATTGAGCTTTTTGTTTTTTGCAGTTCTGTCCTCTCAGCACACAGAGTCAGGTACAGCTCATCTCGGGACAAGTGAAAACTTTATGCCAGTTGGTCCTTCCTGATGTGACGCTTCCTTCTACCCCAAGGAAGGCACTGTTCCTCTGCCCCCAGCTCAGACATCTGCTCCTGGACCGCTGGTGGACCTACCTGACGTGCCCCCTCCCTGCGTCATGCACCTGGCCTGAGCTACGTGCTTCTCCTCCATGTACAACAGACTGAGGCTCTCAGAAGTGCTTTGTTTTATCTTCATCACCTTTTGAATAATTGTCAACACTTCAAAGTCAAGAGATTTCATGTACAAACCCAGATTTCTTTCTTTATTGAAAAACAAACTGGGCGGAGATTCTTAAAAGGCAACCATTGGGTGGAACTCCAGAACAGCTGCAAGCTGTGGAGGGAACATGCCTCTTCACTGACACAACCTCTGAGTGTGTGTCTGCCCCACGCCATCTCTGAGTGTCAGAGACCAGTCACCATCGTCAGTCTTGCCAACGTGTTTCTCTTTCCTGTGCTTCTGCAGGAATTTGAGTTGGAGACCTTAAGTGTACAGCCTCCCACGTTGCCCTGACTCTTTCATATTGTGACTGTCTGTCTGTTTGTTTCTGCAGCTAGACTCTAAGCTCCTTGAGGGCAGGAAACATGTCTTTCTCATTCTTTTGTCCTTCAGGCTCAGCACAGAACCTGGTTTGAGGTGTTCAGTGACATTATTGAATTAATCTACACTGAGGAAACGTAACTGGGATAGAATGAGGCCCTGGCAAGTGGTGCTCCAGACTGAGGGACTCATACAGCTGGGGGTTGGCAGTGAAGGATGTGGACAGTGGCCACAGCCAGGCTCCGACCTCAGGAGGGCCTTGTAGCCCATGTGTGTCCCTGCAAGTTGCAACATGTACCCATGTTTCATGGCCATTTTGTATTTCAGGACATTCCAGGACCTGTCCAAACAAGTGGAGATGTCTTATGGCACCGTCCGGGATTCTGCTGTGTACGAGTACTTCCGAGCCAAGGGCACCAACCCTCTAGAGCAAGACAGCACATTTGCTGAGCTCTGGCGGACCATCAGCAAGAATGGAGGGGCTGACAACTGCGTGTCCAGCCCTTCAGAAGGCATCAGGAAGGTAGGCGAGAGCTGGCTACCTGGGCATGTGTGTGCTGTGACGGGACCATGGGGACTGTCATCCTTGGGGTAGGAGATACCTTCCCAGAGGCATCTCCTTTGAGTATCCCTGTCACCTGCAAGGTGATCCAGTTAGCAGCCTAGATAGACACTTCTCATAAGCATGTGGGTATCAGGTAAAGAGGCACACATTCTTTAGGCAGACACCCATTTTTGGCCGGAGAAGCAAAGGGGCTGGTCCTTATGGCTTTTCTAAGTTTCCAAAGGGTCAGGGAAGAGCAAACAGGTTACGCCCAAGACATGGACCTCCCTCCTCCTGGGCTCAGAGGATGGTGGCGCAGAGGGGTCTCGCCACCCCAGGTGAGAACACTTGACAAAAGCAGATGCAGAAGACCAGGTGAGAGGTAGATGGCGTAGGGAGACAGGGTTCAGGGGAGGGTGGGCACACTGCAAGATCTAGCTGTGGAGCAGAGGTGTGCTTGGGAGATGGTGATAAGGACAGCAAGCCCAGGATGGAGGCTGATTGGGAGGAGGAAGGGCAGAAAAAGGTTGATACATTCTTCAGCAGTGGGTTAGACTTTGCTCATTTATTGCAGTGAGTTACCACAGTGACCCGAATTAATCATGATCATCCCGTTATACAGATGAGAATCAGAGCCGTGGGTCACACTCCTCGTTAATTTTGATGCCTGGGGTTCCAGACTGAGGGGTTTGGTATTTATCTGCCACATGCTGCAGAACCCTTGAAGGTCCATGAGGAGGAAGGTGGTGGGATGAAGGCAGGTGTCATCAGGATGTTGCTGGTGGTGGCACATTCTTCCCAATGACCCTCACATGCAGAGGCTACTATCTCTTGGTCATTAGTGAATGATGCAAGAAAGATGTGCACCATGGCCAGCACTACTGCCTCTCTGGGTAGACCAGCTGTCCAGCCTGTCTCACTCAGCATCTCTTCCCTTCTGTTCCCTATTCAACCTACCCCACCACATCTGCAGAACCTTCACACACATGCATTCACACACACGTACACACATACATGCACACACCTGTCCAGCCTGCCTCAGTGTGTCCTACCTTTCCCTACCCATCAATTCTACCTCTGCGGAACCTTCTTGCAGGCTCTCACACAAAGGCACTCGTGCACACGCTCCCACTCACACACACTAATGCACACACATATTCATGTACACACATACCCGTGTTCTACATCCCCAGCCATTTGGCCATCCCTTAGCTTTACTGCAGAGGGCAGTGGATATAAGGGGGCAGTCTGCAGAAAGCTTAGGGGCCACTAGGACCCACCACCTTGCTCTTCATGATGAGAAGAGTCCTCAGCAGTTTGCCAGCCCCTCTCAGGAGAGCCCCAAGTGGGTCCAAGGAGAGAGGCAGAGCCTGAGTCCTGCTTCAGAAGCAATAGGCCCTGGCCCCTGAAGGCAGTGCTTTGTGTGGTGTGGGAGCCCCCCAGGGCACATGTGCTCACAGGGCAGTTAGCTTGGAGTGGTTTCTCCCTGTCATTTAGCGAAGTTGAGCAGCAGAGAGTGTCTGGGCTCTGGGGCCTGGCACGTTTGGGTGTGAATCCCAGTCCCACAGCTCACCAATGACATAAAATTGAGCACACCACTCTTCCTGTCGGGAACCTCTCAGTGTTGAGAGAGGCCTGGGCAACTTCCTGTTCCGGGTTCCCTTTAGACACTTAAAACATTTAAAAGTACAAGTTATGGTAGATTTGGAATGTTTATATTTAACCAAGTGATATCTTGACAAAAATAATAGAATGCAACATAAATGTGCTATTCCCATGCTCACAAGGTTTATTAAAACCTCTTACATCCTCGTGCACAGAGAAATACGGCGCTCTCACCTTGAGCTGCTGGGTTTTCTTTCATCCCTGACAGTGGATCTTTGTGGCTATAGGTGACCTCATTTGGAGATAATGAGCACAAAGTTGATTTAAGACCTTTTATGAATATAAGGCTTGGTCCAAATGGCCTTGGAGTTTCCCTTCTCTGATTTCCTTGTCTCTCACAGAGAGCCAATACTCCCATCCAAACTGGATGCTTATGAAGATTCATTGCAACAAGGCTACAAAAAGAACTTAGAAAAGATAGCAGCTTTTGACTTTATCAAACTTCTGTTCATTACAAGGGACTTGAAAGAAAATAAAAAGGCAAGTCACACACTACGAGTGGACATTTACAATGCATACAGTCAATATAGGATTCATATCCTGTATGGATGTTATATGAAGAACTTTTACAAATTAATAAGAAAAGCTCAATTTAATAGAAAAATGGGCTAAAGACTTGTACAGGACTTTCACAGAAGAGGTACCACATATGGCCGATAATCACATGAAGAGATGTTCAAAGTCATTAGTGTCTCCAGAAAAGGAAACTCAAGACCATAAAGATATATCACTCACTTTACCTCAATTAGACTTGCCCCAAATGAGAGGTGGTAGAAAGGATGGGAGTAACAGGGGGTTAATTGCTGGTGGTAGTGTACTCAGTACAGTCACTTTGGAAACAAGTTTGTCATTCTAGTAGAAAATGGAACACTTGCATACCCTGTGACTCAGCAATTCCACTCCTATACATCCACCCAAAACAAACTTCTGCAGCGCCTCAGAGATAAGAAAGACCACGGTAGCATTGCTTATAGAGCCAGGACCCTGGAAACAATCCAGATGAGCATTAACAGGTTAAAAAATAAGGCCTGTGGGGCTTCCCTGGTGGCCCAGTGGTTGAGAGTCCGCCTGCCGATGCAGGGGACATGGGTTCGTGCCCCGGTCTGGGAAGATCCCACATGCCACGGGGCGGCTGGGCCTGTGAGCCATGGCTGCTGAGCCTGCACGTCCAGAGCCTGTGCTCCGCAACGGGAGAGGCCACATCAGTGAGAGGCCCGTGTACCGCAAAAAAAATAAAAAAATAAGACCTGCATGAAATGAATGAACCACAGCTTGATGTAATAGTATGGATGAATCTTAGCTGAATAATATTGAGTAAAAAAAAGAGCATTAAAGGCAATTTCATATAGGTCAACTAATAGAAAATAACATTCAACATAACACCCTTTTAAACACAGGCATACACACATCCAAGGTAATGATAAAATATAAGACTCAGGGTAAGGGTTACTACAGATGGGAGAGACAGAGCAAGAGGAAGGAGAGAAGCATATTGTTGGCTCTAAGTCAGGGTCAGTGTTAGCTTTATAGTCACAGTCTTTCCTTTTTTTTTTTTTTAATTTTTCATTTCTCATTAAAATAAATAATTAATAAGTTAATTTTAAAAGAGGGCCGTTCCTAGACAAAAGGACGGGTGTCCTGAACCAAGAGTTGTGATTAATCTCATTCTTTGCACCTACCTGCTCTTTCAAATAAATAATTCCAAGCCAGCCAGGCAGAGTTTGATTTAAGACCTTTAAGACACACCAGCCGCTTCTCTCCTTGCGGGTGCCCAGGTTCAGGCCTACTCCTGGTGTTCCTCAAGAAGGCCAACGCCACCAATAATGCCCTCTGGAGCCGGTAAATCTGGAAATGGGTCGTTAGAGAGATATCTCCCCATCTCCTGTTTACTCCTAGTCCATAGTTGGCACCTTAGAAATCATCACCCTCTGGTGATATTTAGGGTCTCACGCATGAATAAAACAATGTTAAAAAAATACGTGGTGGGGGCTTTCCTGGTGGCGCAGTGGTTGAGAGTCTGCCTGCCGATGCAGGGGACACGGGTTCGTGCCCCGGTCCGGGAAGATCCCACATGCCGCGGAGAGGCTAGGCCTGTGAGCCGTGGCCGCTGAGCCTGCACGTCCGGAGCCTGTGCTCCGCAGCGGGAGAGGCCACAGCAGTGAGAGGCCCGTGTGCCGCAAAAAAAAAAAAAAATACATGGTGGAAGATGCAAATAAGGGGTTCTTTATAAATGCCTAAAGCTTCATGGTACAGAATCTAATCTTTTTCCAGTACAGAGGATGTGTTGCTTTTATGACACATTCATTTTATAAACCCCAAGCCAGCTTTGGGGTCACAAATCTCCCACTTGCACTTGGATCTTTAAGAAAAAAAACTGACTGTCAGCATTAGGCAAATGTTAAGGGTTTTATAACTGGTGTCATATAAGTGAGTTTATAGTACTGTCAGAAAGTGGAGTGCACTACATTTTTTACTGCAAGGAGAGCTCAGATCCCACTCTCAAACCTTCCTTCTGCATGTGCCTGTTTGGGTGGCTACTGTACTTACATGCTTATCTGAAACTCTTCCTGTCCCCTGCCCCCTCTGGAACTGCTCCTCAGCCCCCAGGTTTTGACTTCAAATACCTTATGAATCCCCAGCCTGAAGCACACCAGACTGGGGATGGCTGTGCCCTGAGTGAGGGCCATATCCTGAATCCAGAAACTGTAAGGAAAAATCCAGCATATTGGGAAATATGGACATGATCTTGATATTCAGGGAGGAGGGGCTTCTCCGAATCCCAGACAGAACCCGCGTGGGTGCAATGCAGGCCGCCTGGCAAAGGTGAGGACTGGATGCCCCCAAGGGATATCAGAGGAAACTGCTTTAGCAAGAGGAGGATGCTCCAACTTCTAATTTCCAGTTACTCTTTGGTGACCCTGGCTCCATTTCCAAGAGTGCTTGGTAGTGGAACAATGTCTAATTGCTGCTAAAGTCAAGGAGCTTGGTGTTGAAAGTAACCTCAGAGAGCTGCTATTTTTTTTTTTTCCTTGTGCTGCAGCTTTTAATGACCTGAAACCAATTTAGGTGGGAAATTGCTTAGCAAGAGGTGATCACTTTTGCACAGTATCAGAACCAGAGAAAGGAATTATGTCATGGTTTCCCCCCCTGCTGTGACCTACTCCTTCATGCCAGCCATCACTCAGATAAGGAGGGGGCAGCCCTTTCTGGGCCCTGGCGAAGAAAGCAGAAGGGATTTGGAAGCAGAGGGAAGTTTATTTATTTATTAAAAGCCCACAGTGTGCAGTTTTTAGAGCAAACCTGCATGGTGCCCA